GGGACATCACAGACACACCTGGGACACCTGGGCACACCCGGGCGCAGCCCCGGCCCCGCATCCGGCCCCAGGTGAGGTCCAGGTGACGTCCCCAAGGTGCCCGCGGGGACGATAATGTCACACCGACCGTGATGTCACACCGACCGTGATGTCACACTGACCGTGGTGGCACGGCGGTGACGTCACACCGATGACGTCACCGATGACGTCACCACTCTCTAATTAGGATTCGCGTTCCCCGAGCGGGCGCACAAGGCCGAGTCCAGCCCTGGCTGTGGCACTGCGTGACATGACAATGCCACAGCAGTTATGTCATTGATGATGTCACGGTGATGCTGTCACACCGATGACATCACCAATGACGTCACCACTCTCCAATCAGGTTTCGCGTTCCCCGAGTGCGCGCACAAGGCCGAGTCCAGCCCCAGTTCCCGTCACACCCGACTGTGGCACTGTGTGGTGTGACAATGTCATGGCAGTTACGTCATTGATGATGTCACGGCGATGACGTCACACCGATGACGTCACACCGATGACGTCACCAATGACGTCACTCCCGGCAGGTTTCGCCTTCCCCGAGTGGGCGTACGAGGCCGAGTCCAGCCCGGGTTCCCATCAGATCCAGCCGTGGCACTCCATGATACGATAATGTCACACTGACAGTGATGTCACACCGATGACGTCACCGATGACATCACCCCTCCCCGACCAGGTTTCGCCTTCCCCGAGTGGGCGTACAAGGCCGAGTCGAGCCCCGATCTCCTGTCACATCCAGCTGTGGCACTCCATGACACGATAATGTCACACTGACCATGACGTCACGGTGATGCTGTCACACCGATGATGTCACTGATGACGTCACTCCCGATCAGGATTCGCCTTCCCCGAGTGGGCGTACAAGGCCGAGTCGAGCCCCGGCTCGCGGCAGATCCAGCTGTGGCACTTCATCCTGGAGCTGCTGCGGCAGGAGCAGTACCGCGAGGTCATCGCCTGGCAGGGCGACTACGGCGAGTTCGTCATCAAGGACCCCGACGAGGTGGCGCGGCTCTGGGGCGTGCGCAAGTGCAAGCCGCACATGAACTACGACAAGCTCAGCCGCGCACTCAGGTAAACAAAATTTATGGCTTTGCCCACTCTGGGGCGTGCGCAAGTGCAAGCCGCACATGAACTACGACAAGCTCAGCCGCGCACTCATTTTCCTAGGAAATTTGGAGTTTTTCCCCATGATAATTGGAATTTTTGGGGTTTTTT